CAACTATAAATTGGAGATGGTCCTGGACACTCCAGAAAGGGGCGTGTCTATCAGGAGGGAAATGCTATCCCCCAAACTTCCTGTTCACTCTGCCTTGGCCTGTCTGCCTTACAAGGACTACGACTATTCTAAGGTTTGAGCAACATGCATTTTAGTAAAATATGTTGTCCACAAGTAAATTCACTTTAAAATTTTCTGTGTTCGTGTTGTAGCATGATTTTATTCAAGCTTAATTCATGTCCCTGTTCTGTAGGTGATGGGTACTTGTTGTGAGAATGTCATCGGGTACATGCCGGTGCCAGTGGGAGTGGCTGGTCCTCTTCTGTTGGACGAGAAGCAGTTTTACGTTCCTATGGCGACCACAGAGGGCTGCCTGGTGGCCAGCACGAACAGAGGCTGCAGGGCACTTTCTGTAAGAGAGGCGTATTTAGCTGTAGCTGTGGTTCACCGTGTGTATGTGTGTGGTTGTGTGTGTTGTGCTGACTCTTGCCATCCTTCCTGTCCAGCTGAGTGGGGGTTGCCGCAGCAGGATCCTAGCTGACGGTATGACCCGCGGTCCTGTGGTGAGACTGCCCTCAGCGTGTCGGGCTGCAGAGGTCAAAGTCTGGCTCGAGACCCCGGACGGATTCAGCCTGATCAAGGAGGTCTTCGACCAGACCAGCAGGTCAGAGGAAACGCTGAGATTGCCAAAAAAACAATGACAGGATGAATACTGAGTCACACATATTAAAATATCTTATCGGACAAACCTAACATTCATGGATTTTTTTTTTCTTGTTAGGTTTGCTCGTCTGGAGAAGCTGTCGGGGAGTTTAGCTGGGAGGAATCTGTATATACGCTTCCAGTCTCAGACAGGAGACGCCATGGGCATGAACATGCTATCGAAGGTACGACCCAATCTTTTGCAATTTCAATGAAACTTTGGTTTTTGTCTCTATTCAGCTTATATACTTAACAGGGTACATGCTGTGTTTTCCCAGGGCACTGAACAGGCTCTGCTCAGACTCCAGCAGCAGTTTCCTGACATGGAGGTGCTTTCAGTCAGTGGTAATTACTGCACTGACAAAAAATCTGCTGCCATAAACTGGATTCTGGGCCGAGGCAAGTCTGCTGTCTGCGAGGCCACCATCCCTGCCAAGGTGGTCAGGGAGGTAAAAACAACCACTAAAACTCCACCTTCGCACCTCAAATCATTGCAGTGGAAAAATTCAGCTCACCAGCTTAAACAATCATTAATTTGCCATTACTGTTCAGAAAATAATAAAAAGCCATTTGAATGTGTCTTTAGGTGCTAAAGAGCAGTACAGCCGCTCTGTTGGAGCTGAACATCTCCAAAAACCTGGTGGGCTCGGCCATGGTGGGCAGCATAGGGGGCTTTAATGCTCATGCTGCTAACATTGTAGCTGCCATATACATCGCCTGTGGACAGGTAAACCCTCACTCACACTATCTCTAGTCTTGAATTACTTCCACACATGCTCATGGGTATCTTTAAAGGGGACAACTTATAGTATTAGAAGGAGTGTGAGGCTGATAAACAGTCAACTTTCCACGTATAGTCAGTCATGTGTAGAATCAGTATGTAAATGCATTGTGTAGTCAAGATGCTAAAAGTAATAGCTATGTTGCTCTTTTATAAATCTCACCCATGGGAGTTGTTTCTGCTGTACCTGGAAATAAAATGGTTGACTTTTGAAGGTGTAAAATGATTGTGTCTCAGTGGCATAAGGTCATATTTAAACTAGTGATGACAAAGTATGAAGACTTTCAAAAGAAAAATACACATTAAAACATAAATCTTAACTTTGTAGAAATACTTGGATAGTATTAGTGGACCTGTGACACTTCACAGAACATGATATCAGTTGTGGTTCTCAGCGTAGCACAGTCAACAGCTTTCTCACCACATGTATGGAGTTATATCTATCTATATATATATATGTGTGTCAGGATCCTGCTCAGACAGTAGGAAGCTCCAACTGCATCACTCTGATGGAGCCTGCTGGTGCAGATGGACAAGACCTGTACATCAGCTGCACTATGCCCTCCTTAGAGCTGGGTACTGTGGGAGGAGGCACCAACCTGCTGCCACAGCAGGCCTGTCTACAGGTAACCTCATCCTTTACATTTACCTTTTGACTTGTATTTCAGTTTTAAGGCTCCAAACTGTAACATTTTAATTTCACAGTAATGTTTGTAAAAAGTTTGACTGATTTTCCGTCCTTTTAAGGATTCAAAGTAAATCAGATGAAAGCAGAAAAATTACACATGCACCCTAAATGTCCTAAATCAACATGGAAGTTGATCTTTGACTGCACAGACAGATGAGCAGACACCAAGCAGCAAGATATTGCAAATAAAAAGCTTCAAGGTGGGAGGTGGATTATGACTCTGCAATGACTGTGTGATGATTCAGAGGTTTTAAGAGCAGGGCTCCCAAATTGTGGAAAGTTTCCTGCCGGGTAATAAACTTGTGACACACCTTAATTGTTTTATGAGACTACATAAATAGACTGAGGATTAAGTTATAATTTCAGGCTGTGTGTAAATTTAAAGGGGAATGACAGATGATCAGCCTGTCGCCGATATGCAGAAGAGTGTGAATGAGCCCGTGATCCTCCGCAGGATTCACTGTGAACAAGTGGGAAGGTTTCTAATATGCATCAAAAATTAAAAAAAAGAATACAAATATCTCAGGATGAAAAAGTGGTGCCATGAAGATGTCAGGGGAGGTTTTAGTGACGAGAGCCGATGCCGGTGTGAAGTTACCAAAAACAAGTGATCTCCACAGCAGAGTACGACCTGTCTCTGCCTGCTGCGCCACCCCTCACCTGAACGCTGCAGAGATGTCTTTGTTGATGTTAACGTGTCTGAGCAGAGAATCTCCTGCTGCGCTGTTCATGTGTCAAAGTATCAGGACATAAATATCAGGAAATGTTCCGTCGTGGCTGACCACAAAGCCATCACTGGTTACACCTGTAGGTGGTTTAGTTCTTACTCATGGAACAAGACTGGAAATCAAGTTTCTGGATCCTGAACTCTAGCGAACACTTAATTACAGCTTTATTTCTCTGCCACTGATAAGGTAAAATCAACTTAATAGGTTTTAAGTCTGTAAAATATTAAAAGGACAGTGTGTTCAAGTTGTAATAAGTAATCAGCATGCGTCAGAACACAACGGTAACAGACTCCAGCAGCAACTCTACAGTGGATAAAAAGGAAAGCTACCTCTGATGAGGTCTGCTTTCTAGAAGAGCACTACCCAGCATTTTAGAGAATTTGACAAAACAAGGGGTTCATCCTGTTGTCAGATGTTCTTTTCTAATATAAAACCCTTACAGTAAATGACTCATTTCTGTCTTTAGATTCTTGGTGTCCAAGGTGCCAGTCCCGACCAGCCTGGCGAGAACGCCCGGCAGCTGGCCCGCATAGTTTGTTCCACCGTCCTGGCAGGAGAGCTGTCTCTGATGGCCGCTCTAGCTGCTGGGCACCTCGTCAAAAGCCACATGACCCACAACAGGTGAGATAGTTCACTCGTGATCTCTGTGGTCTGTGACCATTCACCCTGCGAGAGGCTGATTGTGCTCCGTTCTCTGGTCCTAGATCTAAAACAAATATATGCGATACCCCTGCGCAAAAGTGTGGAGACGGCAAGTGTTGACGTGATGGCCATCTTCAGAGAGGGAAAGTACGCCCCCTGGAATCCGGCACAAGACGCCGCAATCAGAAGTGAAAGGCTCTCCTAATGATGTGTTTCTGAGGGGGGAGCTGTGGGTGGTGGAAATCCACAGGTGGAAGACAATTAACTAAATACACACTGGAGACAGTGGTGTGCTCAGTTCGGGACTGACTGCAAAAAGACTTTCTGTGTTGAAATGTTGCTTTGCTTATTCGTGTCATTTGCCTGCATCTTAGCGTTGCAGTTGTATTTGATAAAGGCTTCACTGACGCCGGCGCTGATCTTTCGGACAACTGGGTGTCACGATACGATTCGGATGTGCGTGTGCACCATGCTGCTCGAGGTCTTTAACTAGTACCTCTGAAGAATCGTAAAGCCAGGAGCTTCTCCCATCACGCACGGAAAGACACAGCTTCTGCATTAACGAATGAGATCTTCAGAAAGGTAACATCTGATTTCCTGAAAAAAAGAATTGCACTTGCCAAAAGCTTTTTCTAAACAGAACAGTGTAGTTTCAAATACCAACCTTCTGCCTGAATGTATGTGGTTCTATATCGGTGGTTTTCACTTGCACAATCCTTCCTGAGTTAAGGTGCAACTGTATACTGTGTATACTGTAGAGTGACTGTGGCGGCTGAACCTCGAGGTTTCTGTCTCTGGTGGTTTGTCCAGACTCTGATCAGCCACTAAGACGAACCGTTAGAGGCAGGTGGGTTTTTTTTAAAGGCTAATAGGAAAAATAAAGCCATATTAATTTATTAATTAATTAGGTACACTTTTATTTTACATGTGTGCAGCTATTGATTTTTTTTTGGGGCATGGTGGGAGCAAAAGGATGAGTTTAAAGGAGACACAATGCTTTTCAGTTTTTGTCTTTCCTCCTGTGTGTTACGGAACTTTTGTAAAAGGTCTGTAAAGTATTAAAGCAAAACAGAAAATACTGAAGCTCCTGAAACATTTCCACATCGTCATGATGATGTTGAAAGAGGAGCTGCAGCAATGGACAATATGAAGAGATTGAAGTTTCCAGAAGATTAGAGCATGGAAACTTAATCACTATGAGCCTGAATATAAGCTGAATGCCTCCTTTAAAAGCATCACTCACCACAGGTACCGCAGGTTCGGGTATTTTCAGAAAGAAGCAAAGCTCAGAAGTGGCCTTACATAGTGTCTGAGATGATGAGCCTTCGCATGTTCTAATTAGAATATTCAATTATAAATTATCAATGTCAAGATTGTACAATGTTTTATTTAAAAGATAAACACTGTGTTCTGCTCTGAGTGATGTCTCACTGGTTTCTCAGCAACAACAAATGGTTTCAAACTGAAGGATAAACTTATTTATTTCACTTTCAAACAGGGCACAAGTGCCACGTCGTCACAGTACATTTTGTAAGTTGATCCCACAGCATAAGTATGAACAAATAATTTACAAAAATGTTTCTCTAATCACATTCAACCTGTGAAGAACTAAACTTTAGAAATTAGAAATGTCTGGCTTCAGGTGAGAGAGCCTCAGTGCGGCGTCCTCCCACTCGGCTGAAAGGCCGAGTATCATCTGGCTTCACTTGTTCTCTCACCCACATCTTTCAGCTAGAAGCTCTAAAAGACTGAAAACTGATAAACACAGCTGCACATTTACCATCATTGATATGACCCCAGACGTTGAAGTTGAAATGGTACAAGAGCAGAGAATGTTTTATTTTGAAAAGTCTGGAAAATAAGGTGCGTGATCAAAACTTAAACCAAAACCAGTTGAACAATTAGGATCTGCAAATAAAAGTTTTCTCATGGACACGATTCCTGTAAAAATCAACTCAAGTACTTTGGACTTTTCAGCTCTGCACATGTATTAAACAGTCTCGGGCAGAAAATACAGGACCCCACCTGACTATGTGAACATTTGTCATGTTAGTACGCAGCACATGTAAGAAACACCAAGAATACTAACGGAACTGTTGAGGTGGCTACACTGAAATGATGTTTTTGCGACACTAGACCTATAACATCCCGCTAGCTCTCAGCAAATGACTCGCAGGACACATTTGAAATAGTCTCTCAAGGGACAAAAGACAATAATATAGGGAAATAAGCCATGAGGCACTTCACTAGTGATTTACCGGGTGCACTAACCGCCCCCAGACTCCCAACTGACGCTACATCTTCCTGTAACACTAAGGCATTTGGGCTCGACTATCATAAAAATGCTTGGAGGACCTTCGCTGAAAATGTTAGTGACACTATTTACATCTCATTTACCATTCAAAATACAGGATATGCTTTGTAAGTGGAACATATCAACAGTGACACAAAAATAAAGCCGGGCTAACGATGCAGACAAACTCTTTTGTGGATTTAAATAAATAGAAACTCTTCGGCTCATCTCTCCATCCGCACCACGAGGCGTTTTCATGAGAGAGACGGGGTGAAAAAGTTCAAGTCTTACTTCATAGGGGTCACGGGTTAATGACGGCCCTCTGGACTTAACACAGAAAAGATGATCGTCTCAAATCAATCGTGTTTAAACTCGCAAAAGTTAGCAGCTTACAAAGAATGCTGGGACATGAATTGAGCAAAAACAAAATGCAAAATATGAACTCAATATTACAGTCTGCTAGTAAAGATCTACAATTTTATTTTTACAAACTTATTGAACATAGGTACATTGATATATTAATATACTTGTCAGAGACAGACATGGTGTCAGTTCTCTACAAGACCAGGAAACACGGTGCGATGTGGTGTGACCACCTCAGGGGAGGGATGTAACAGGCTTGGTTAATTTTCTCATGCCGTCTGAATAGCTGCAGTTTAATCTTTTGACCCATTAAACCACAATGAAGGGAGATAAAAACAAATATGAAGTGCTGTTGAAATTATTAGCATTAAATACAACTTTCGTGTATGACTGTCTCAGGGGTACAGAGGACACAGTTATTACACATCCTCCCCTACTGGAACTGACTTGTAGTAACAAAATGATGAGGAGGAAGAAATCCCTCTGAGGAACTTGTGTCTTCATGGCAGCAGAGAGTCATGGTGAGTCCTGTTCTCGTGTCTCAACACTGGAGAGATGGAAATCCTGAATATTAGCATGTTGCAGGTAACTGAATAATATTCAGAGGTGACATGTGAATTCATATGATCTGATTAGTAAACTGTAGCAGTGGCTTTGTTACCTGGGAGATTTAGAATAAGATGGGTTTGCCAGACGTTTTCTCCTGGACGTAGGAGGTGAAGCGCTTGAGGAACTTGGGGTACTCTCTCTTAGCCACAGCCCTGAGCACGGAGGCAGGAGCCCAGCCTCCTGGATTTACTGCAGGGACACACAAACGCACACAATATCAGTTTTACTGCACTACTCAGCACAAATGTTCACATCTTAACTAGTGTGACCTGCTTTGAAAATAAATTCACCCACAACCCTGGGAAGGTTATTTGAACAAAAGATCCAATTTGGCTCAAAATAAAAAGCCCCTGACAAATATCAGCTTGACCATAAAAATAAAGAGAAGAATAAGAACACACCAGTGCACCCTGGCACAAAATGAGCCCAAAGCCGTGAGTGAAGCAAAAACCAAACACCCCAGGGAAGGAAAATGTGTCAATAAGCGATGATGTATTTTCATAACTTACTAGGCACACATATTTATAAAAGGAGTTTCTATTCAAACAGACTGAGGGCATATTTCCTCCCCTTAAAAATGACTAATATTCTCCTCCAACAGCAGCGGCAGTTGTAGCGGACACTGCAAGAGCTGCTGATTCATTCGTTTTCTTTATATCTTCTAATGGAAAAGTTAAGGCCCATTCAATCATCGGGGATTCAGCAGCTTTCGAAAAGTTCCATTTCAGACTTTTTGATATCTCACCGAATACAAAGTTAAAACTAAAAGTATGATGGAGAAGCAGTGGGGGTGATATGGCTGAGAGTTATTTATCATCGTCATTATATAATATCACAGCTCTTCAGGACTTTACAACAACAATCCCTGCTGGTGGCTTTAATTACATGAACACAAGTGAAGCAATGATAAATCAATTGAAACTATTAATTATAGTAAATCAGGTTTTTTTGCTACATCGACACTTTGCTCATCATGAGACACTGAGGTTCCCTAGTGCTGAAGCTGGTAGCTAAAAGTTGTGAAAGTATTTGATGTAAGTTTGATGGTTGCGACAGAAGCCCCACACAAAATTATACAACGGCTGAATTCACAGTACCACAGTTTGCAGGTGAGAATGAAAACCAGAAAGATTTCCTATTTAAAAGACAACCTAAAACAGGCAAAGCTAAATAGTTTCAATTTACATTTGAGAGTTTTGATACCTTAGACTTCTCACTGTTGATAGGTCAACTACAGCCCAAATCACAGATCCACACTCACCATTAGCGAAGTATGTGATTTTACACAGGATGTTGTCTCTGCTGATCTCTTTGTCTCCCTCTGGTGGACTGACCAGGGTCTGACAGATCATGGCGATGTTGATTTTGGCTCGGACACACTTGTTGCTCGGCTGTGGAAAGTGACAGGACAGAGAATTAATGAATGTTTTACTGGTTTTATTTATTTGATAGGGACAGAGCTCGCTTGATTAACAGACACAAATCCTACAAATGAGCCAGAGTTTGCTGTATAGGCTCATTTACACTTCAATAACCAGTTCTCACATGACGACCTGAAATAAAATGACACTACAAATATCTATGGGTGCTTTATGTGCAAAAAAAAAATCATTATAAAAGTAAAATAATACAATTCAAAGCCACAAATACACACGATCGCAAGTTTGATTTTTTTAAAGCCAAATCTTAACTTACTGTATTTAAAGGTTATGCAATTACTACTGTTTCTATAGTAAACTATTCCAGTGGTTGGTTGTTCTGACTGAAAAGACAGTCAGAAGACTGACTCCACGTCTGTACTGGACAACACAGTCCCTTCTGGTGATTGCCCTTGTTGCCCTGCCACTAATCTAAGTGGACCTGGTGTCTCACCTGTGCATCGTCATGATCCACGGAGAAGTTGCAGACCAGCCAGGTGTCGGGGTCGTTCTCGTTGTTGGCTAAGATCTTCCTCATGGCGGACAGGTACAGTACGTCCCTCTGAGACGCAGGCCACACCCGCTGGAACAGATCATTCTTACTTTAGATTACACAGGTCGTAGACTAAATGTGATCATAACAAGCCGATCCATTCCACCGTGGAGCGCAGGAAGCCGGTAGCTCTTACTGTACCTTGTGCGTTTGATAGATAATTGCTGCGTTTTCCGACAGCGTCTCCACAACATTGAAGTTTTCAATCGTGGCTGAAGGAAGACAAGAGAACAAGAGTTTTCATGATATCTGAACAGTAAAGTGTCTCTTGACCAAAACTGACTCGGTGTTTAAAGACTTACTCTCCCAGTCGTTGCGATATGCGGTGTCCCAGAAGTAGTGGCAGAGCTCATGACCAGTCACTCCCTTTACTGAGTGAGTGGCCTTCAGGGGGTCCAAAACGATCCCATTTTCTTCCACCTCTCTCCTGTACACCTGCACACACATTCCAAAAAACAATGCATAAACACATTTTAGATTGAAGTACTTGTATAGATCCAGCAGGCTTTGGTCCAATTATACGCTATACTATAATAATATATATATATATAATGTATTTTCAGAACTCATAATTTACTGTACGAGTAGGAGAAAGAGAATTATAGATTTTAACATCAGCTATTTCAGAAATCTGATGTAAATATGAATATCTTACCTTCATTTCTCCCTCTTCTACAACCAGCTGCCAGTTGGCGTCTCCACCAACATCCTGCAGGGAGTAGGTCATGTGACTCTGCACCATCTCCTCCACCTATGACGGACAGAAGGAAGAGGTGATATCGATTGTGTAATGACAATTTGAAAAAGGTCATCAGAGATCAACATGGCATGATGGTGTGAACTGTGACAACCAGGCAAACAGAACAAATGAGACACTGCCTTGAAAGCTGCAATTTCTGTTTATAAATTAAGAATGTTAATTTGCCACAAACAAACATCATAATTTATTGGCTAAAACAAAACTGTCTCTGTCACTTTATTGATTCCAGTAACAACAGCCTACATTTCTCAACCACAACCAGAATTCTTCTTTAAATTAGATTCACAGCTGGGACAGACCACAAACATGCAGGCTAGCACGCCCACAGTAACACAAAGGCAAGCTAACTTTGACGTTACATATCATCCGGCAGTGGATGTGGATGTTAACGTACTTTCAGTGACTGCTCTTCTACGTTAACCATGTAACACATATTTAAGATTGTGATGATCCTCGGGAAACTCTATAAATATATATATGCAACACAACAGAGCTGGTGGCACATTGACTGTTAAGATAAACAACTATTATTTCACACACAGATATAACAGGAGTTCATGCGTGGTGCTGCAAACATCGAGTTTAGTCTATGCACGGGAAACACAGAGGAAGTTACCTCTCCACTGAATCTGTGGACATCGTGAGGAGTGGCCCTGACTATCGGAGTAAGGGAGGACTGACTATGAGGCTACAGGGAAAATTAAACCCGAGGGGATGATGGACAAAAAAAAAAAAGGAGGGAAGAGACAGAGTTACACAAAAGTGATGTGACACTAAATGTGTGAAATGAGGGAGGAAGGTGAGGAAATGCAGCTGATGAGAGTAGCTGGTGTAGTTTAAGTGTGTGAAGAATTTAACAACCTTATCAGAGAATCTGTGTGAGCCAGTGCTGGAGTAGACGTCTGCGATGGGAACAGGGCTGGATCTCTGTATCCTTGTCTTTTCAGTTTGGCACTGCAAACACACAAACATGGGTAGTTGCATCATGTTGCATCACACCAAGCATACTTTCATTTTTTTTTTCAGTAGTTCCCATTCTGATCTTATATTCACCTGTTCCTCAATTTTGTCTTGTCTGTCAAGAGCGGCCTCAACTGCATCAAAGAACTCGTCCTCATTAATGAGGCTGTTTGGACCCTCCTGTAAATTACGTGGCGAGTTTTTTAAAAGATTTGTACACAACCCAATAATCATGACGTGTCATGGATGAATGTTACATTTACTTCACCTCATAATCTGGACCTCCAAAGTGAGACTTCTTCTTCAGTTCGTTGAGGGCTGATTTGAAGCTGTCCTCTATCCTCCGCCTCTTCTCCATCTCCTACACACAAACACATACAATCAATTTGCAGCCACAGAATTTACAGAATTTGTTCAGTTAGAGCATGTACAGTATGCTGACTTAGCATCAACGCCTTTTCTCCACTTTAGACAAAATGCTACAGCCCCAATTAAATACTTACTGATCTATTTAAAGTATGTATGTAATACAGGTTATATATCTTGAACATGTCTCTCATTAACATATAAATAAGGACATTATGGATAAAACATGGCCCCCTGGACGCTGCAGTGATCCAGTTGTTACACACCTTATCCAGTCTCTTTTGCCAGCTGTCCTCTCTCTTCACCATGAGGTCGATGCAGTGGGACAGAGTGGCCAGGATCCCGGCTGTGGTGGCCTTGAATGTGATGGCTTCACCCTTGAAGTCTATGCCATTGATTCCCTTGGGACTCAAAGACTGGAACACTGCACAAAAGAAAACCATCATCATCATCATCATCATCTATAGCTTTGGTTGCTGCTTATGTAGTAATGAATGTTTCAGGTTAGAGAGAACACAAAAACTAGTTTTATGGGGCTGCAGCTGCACTACTCACATTTTTCTTTGCTTCCATTGTTGTTGTGCAGAAACTCTCCATCTGTGCGGGTGTTGGGGAAGTCATCTTCATCATCCTCCACGACTGAAAAAAGAAAACGAAACTCAGAGAGGGGAGGCAAATACTAAAAGCACCAAACAGGTAGTTGCTACACTCAAGCCTTGTCTTGAGGGACCCTGCTGAAAGTAATCCAGGGTTCCAGGACAAGGTGGCCCATTCACAACTCAAACCACAGCACACCAACAGATTCTGCTGTGCTGGACAACGTGACAATGGTCTGGTTTCATCTTCAGAATAGAGAGAGGGTGAGAGAGGAAGAGAGGGGGACCAGAACAAAAGCAGGGCTTCATTCTTTTTTCATTTCTACAGACGCCTTGCACAGGCTGCCATGAGCAAATGTTCAGCCGACCAAGACAGTAAGAGTGAGGGGGCTAGTAGAATAACTACTCTCTGAGTCACAACACACACAATCACATTCTGCACAACACTCACTACATGTTTCTTACAAACTACATACATTTTCTTCATTGTATTTTAAGTAAACTAAAGATTATCTTAGACATATACATCTCTGTAGTAGCAGTTAGGTTACACACACACTTTCTATAAATGCATAACACAATGCATTTACTTGGCCCTTAACCAAACGTAAACTAAAATTTAACAATAACCCTGAGAAAAAGCTGCATCATCTATTGGTAATTTTCCTGGTTGCTCACTCCCCCCCCCCCTCCGACTTCTCTCGTTTTAAACTCGAGGCAGAAAGCCACTCTCCCTGAGTCCAGTTCTGTGGGAGGAAGTGGTAATTTCTCTCAACTGTCACCAAGGGCTTGCTCATTATGAGAACAGATGGGCTTCCCCTTACAATCGTTTTGTTAAGTCTTGACCTTACTCTGTAACGTGCCTTTAAATAATGCATGTTTCGATTCAGCGCCATAAAAATAAACGTGATCTTGTGAAAGAAAATCACAAGGTGGTGGAAAACACTCACTGTAAAGGCTCAAATTGTAAAACAAAAAGGATTTTCAGTTTATTATTATACGTGACAAATACTTATATTTGATTTTTTTGCTTGACAAATGACTAGATAAATAATAAAATGTAAAAATCTTCAGTTCTCCAAAATCCATCCCTAAAACCATGCAAGTGAGTGTTAACAGTGTTAAATAGGGGTGTAGGTGTTTGTGGCTCTTACTTTTGTCTCTCTGCAGCTCATCCTTGGACTCAGCATCTGAACAGCTGTCAAAGTATTTCTGAAGCGTGTCCACCTGCCTGCACAAAATGTCTCTGAAGGTCTCCATCTCTGCCAGCTTCTCTTTCAGGCTGTGACCCTTCTGAAGACAGTAAAGTGCAGAGTGGTTAGGCTTGTGTTTATATTTCCACTGGACCACTATGCCACCATCCCACTGCCAGCAGCATGATGGTGACAAAATTCACTGCTTGTGTGTGTCTACGTAAATATCCAAGCACCCCTCATGTGTGCAAATACAAATCTGAAAGCAATGCCTTCTTCAGCTACAGTAAACATGAACCAGAAAACCCACCTTGAAGGAGGATGTGGAGGTGGCAGAGAAGCCGCTGGTGGCTGACGTGAGAGACAGCATGGAGCCACGTCTCCGCAGACTGGACTCTGAGCCATAACCAGAATCAGCCTGTAGAAAACAGACAGGACAGAGAGGAAACATGTGAGCTGTGTCATAACAACAAACTTATTCACTAAAATATATTATCATCATTAATTTGAAAAAAAATGCACAGCCACATTCTTTCAACTATTAAAGCCAGTGAAGAATGAGCCATGATTGAGTTTCTTGTTCACGTCAGTTAAAATGATCCAAGTACTTCCCACCAGGCCCTTTTAACCAAACCAGCAGTCATAATGCAGATTAATGTGCGACAGATCTCCAACTTCTTTCAAGCAGCTTACAAAGAAACATTCCTAATAATAATCTTATCGTTAAAATTAAACATAAACTTCCTCTAAACATGACTATTTCCTCTAATCGAGCAGCGTGGCCTCTCAGAATAGATGCTTGGTCACACACAGACAGAGCAGGTACATGTGCTGATGCAGAAGAGAAACAGGGACGCATTCCCTTTAAATCCCACTTCCGATTTCAGCCACAAGAGGGCATGATAGATACATGTACGTGACTGGCATTTGAAAGAGCTTAGGGTAACTATCGGTCAACGACCAGAAGTAACTCCGCCTCTCATGGATCTCAGTCACGGTTGTTTGTCCTTTAGCCAACATGTTGCTACCCCACTGACTTCATCGGCACAGATAGCCTTATCTAAGCAGGTCGCTTAATCTGTTTTTGATGACAGAACAGGGGAAAAAAACCAAAACACACATCGACACAAGTAGAGGCTTTGTTGCTGCAGGAGTATTTGATAAAAATCTGAAGATATTAAATTAAGCAGCAGTAAAGTAACATTTATCAGCTGCTGGGCCTCCCATCAATGACTGTTAAGGATATGGCCACACACATGGACATGTTGTTAAGCTGCAGGCAGCATGGCGATGCTGTGCAACTGTTATTTACTGTTGGTGTGTCCGGTGATTAAAGCCTCATTGAACACACACTTCTGACTTTGACGATAGCAGACATGAAGCCTGGTGCTCATGAGAAACCTGCTCTTAACAGTACATTGTTTGTTTAATGTGATCAATTACGTATAACATTTGATCAATTCACAATAAAAAATGACCAGAGATTATAAGAACATATTCAACAAGATTACTTTGGCAACGGTCTCCCAGAAACTGGTGTTGTTTTCATGTTTTGATGTTTCACTCTCTCAAACCAGAGGAAGACTCCAGTGTTAGCTGTGGTGTGTTGTGTCTCCTTGGAGACGCTGGGCTGCAGAGTGGTGTGAGTAATGTGAGTTAAGAAGGAGGGAGGCAGTTCCCTCTAGGACGGAGAGTTTTAAGCAGTGACTCATGGTGGGTGGGATGACGGCTGGGCGTGCATGCATGTGTGTGAGGTAGACACCCCTCCTGCTCTGAGTCATGCTGTCTTCCTGGTGTTGAGATGAGCGGGTGAGAGTGAAAGGAGGTGTGTGTGTGTGAATGTGTGTGTGGTGGGGGTTTCCCCACACTAAGACCCATGTGTGAGCACCATGTGTTTTAACAGACAGACTGCAGGTGTAGTGACTGCAAACTTACAACTGCACCGATCTGCAACAACATAAAAAAATCCAGTCAACAGTTTTAATGGTGTAGCTGATCGGTCTATCTTGCTCTCTTCTTCTATGGACTAGATAAATGAGGATATTGCATTGTGCAAAAAACACACGTGCCACTACAGTGCACTGCAGAAGTAATAAGGAAGTCCTGAATTCCTACAGACTTGTTGACAAACGCACCAGTGGTGGAGGGATGATTATTGTTCCCTGGATTCCTCCCCTGTCTGTTCTTCTCTCTGTGATACTCTACCAGAAACACACACATCAATGATGATTCTAATTTGCTTTGAATGTGACAAGGATTTTGCGGGTTTTGATACGAGCACTTCATTGTCCGCTGTGAAAGAATGTGCATGACTTACCCGGTGCAGCTCAATGGAGTCAATCCACTGGTATCTGTGCTCTGGGTCTTGTGCTCTCAGGTACCACACACTGTCGTTCACACTGATGTCCAGCCGGCACTCATCAAACTCATGAGGCTAGAAACAGGAAGATGATAGAGATCAAAAAGTTAGGTTGGTCAGTGTGTATTGAAAATATAGTCAGTACCAGTCAGTATCATTATAATCAAATCCTGTTGACTTCTAACAGAAGCTGAGAGAGGATCAGATATAGGAGGATTAATTAATGCATCGTTATTACCTCTTAAAAGGACATTCTTTTTTTATCAGTGTTTGTTTGTCTAATATACTATATATCATCTTTAACATTAAGAAATCAGCGAAAATGTTGAAACATGCCCCAACTCAGAGAATTGTGTGTGAATCCTCGTAAAAAAAACGATTGTGTGCAACTTTGTGAAGCTATAATATAAGGGGACTGGGCCAAATACATTTGGCCACTGGCCGGTTTGAGTCTGGATATTTTCAATAGGACATTTCAAATTGTGGGAGAAGTTCAGATTGTGATCAAGTGTTAAGAACATCGTGAACAGCAGTTCGATCCGAGTCCTTTGGCAAGATAGTGAACAGAGAATTGCCCCTGACAGCAATGGTTGATGTGTGACGAGAAAGTGCTGCACATACATGCACTGTGAAGTGCTTTGCATCAGGATACATAATAAAAAAAAGACCATTTATCATTTTGGCAACCCGTGTGACTGTATAAACATGATAATGCTGTCAAACATTTTAAATTGAGTTTATGTTCTTTTCACAGCAAGAAGAACAGCCTATCCCTTTTTTACTGCTCAGGAAGTGGAGAGAGAGGCATATCCCAGAGGGGGCCATGTAAATAGCTATTGGAATCACACTGAAAAAAAACTTCTAATTTCGCTTCTGGGTTAAATGGAGAGACTGTTTGTTCTTGTGTTAAATTCAACAGCTGGAAATATGGCAGTCTACTGCGGTCACAGTGATGTGAATTAACTATCTTCAACATAGGCCTATCTCAAAGAGATACAAGCCAAAGATGAACCAGATGCACAGCAGCCGCTTTCAGACACTGTCCCATAGGAACTGGCCTTTTAAGGCAACTTGCAGGATGAAGCATATTCCTAATAGCCCTCCAGTGTACTGTCAGCGCTGTAAAAGTGCTATGCTGGTGTGGCCAGTAACCAAGGAGTGTGTATGTGTTGATGTGTGTGCTGGGAGAAGGGGGAGGTAGCGGGAATGGTATTTACCTGTGTACTGTTTACCTAATGCATCAGGCCTTCTGAAAGGATACCTCTGCAGTGAGTCCCAATGCTAAATCACTCTCAAGGTCTAATCGAATTGAAAGCACAGAATAGTCTATGCAAGAAGGTCTGGCTTGCTCAAGCATAGTCGAGGTCACAGCTAGGGAGGGACCTAGAGCTGCAATAGCCTGAATGAGCAGCGACAGCAGTTAAAGTGTAAGCACAACAAAAACTAGAATTACTGCCTTGTTGTTGTTTGCCTCTGCCAACCAGTCTATAGGAATTAAGGTCAAAGTATCCCCTTCCCCCTTGAGTAAGTGTGGATGTGAAGTGTGAAGTTGACCTTTGACTTGTTGTATATAAAAAATGTCTTCACTTCATTGTATCCTTTCCAAATGTTTTTGCAATATAACAAACACCTCTGGGATCTCTGTGTAAGTTTGCCTGTGATCCACAGTAAGTGCAATCATTTACTACGGAAGCAAACAATCAGCACTGTTGCCAGAACACTACATTTCACTGAGGAATCATTTGTGAATGCAGATAGCAACTCAAGTGTTTATTTAATTAAGCCATTTATTGATTTTTTGGGGATATTTAATCAATAAGGTATTGTAAGATTCAGTTTATAATTACACTGTATTGATCAGTCAGCAATTCTATTTATTCCATACAAGGTTAACACAACGTATGAGTTGAATTCACCAGAGCAAGCTGGAATATAAAAGGCACATATGATCATTAACAATTGCTAGCTTGCATTTTATTATTGCCCAGTGGATGCATGTGCCCAGAGAGAGTCAGAGCCCAAATCATTGCAGGAGATTGGATCACTTAATGAGTTGGCAGAGCAATAAATTGCCCACCATGGGGGCTTTAAAGAGGTTTCATTGCAGGAGTGTGACTTGGCAATGTTGCCTGACACCTGGACGGCATTGAGGCCAAGACCAGATGCTCTGTCAGTAATGTGCAACATTGCTGAAAGCTTACCAAATCAGATGCTCATATAAAAGAAGAGGAAGCAAAAGCAAGGAAGGATACCAAGCATGATGCATCAGTTATAAGAAAGCCCAAAGATCAGTAGATAACACTGATGTGTTTTGAAAAAGAACTTCACCAGCCTAATGACTGAACTAGCCAGTTATTATATTATAATAATAAAATTATATTTGGGATGTTTCTGCATACAACATGTGAGTATATGGTTGACAGATGGAACTTTAGGCAAGAAAGCAAGTTCCTCTTGTTCACCTCTGGACAATGGGGTCATGGGTATACGAAGGATGAGAAATGAGAGCCTGCACCAGGCGTGATAAGTTCACAAGGATCCAAGGCTACTGCAAACAATAATCTATCACAGGAAGGTCATCTCAGCAGCCTTGCACTTTACAAGATGACATGACTGAAAAAGATTTCCAGCCTGGATCCTATGTGAAGGCAGATAAATAAAAGCTGTAAAAAACATAGTGCTTAGTTTGTGTGTCTGTATGTATGTTAATGACAGAAATATTGGAGGATCTAGTTCATTTGTCAATTTTCTGTTGCTCAATGGTGAAACACCTTTCAACCCCCTGTGACCATGCACAGGACAAGCAGTACTAAGAAATGGATGGAGGGATACTTAAGATCGAGCTAGTTTGTATCATCTAAATTGTATGAATTGTAGTTTTCTTTACCCCAGAAAAGACCCTTTATATTTAAATACTTTATATTTACATCGAAGGGATCGTCTCTACGGAGGCCGCCGTGTTTTTAACATTAGTCCAGACTGGACAAACTAAACACCTTTTGAGTTTTTATGACAACTGAAGGTTACCACTGGTTATTTGTCATGTTTGGAAGGAGAGGGTGAGGTGAGGGGGTGTTCAGCTGTAACATGCAATTTCAACATTAGATATCACAAAATTCTACACACTGTACCTTTAAGAAGCCCAGTGTGTTTGTATGTACCAAAATAACACCACACAGTCGACCAGTAGAGATTACATAAATGCAATTCTTTCCCAGCGGAACTGTTTTTGTCTTTTGTTGATTTAGGCGACTGTATTGTCATCCTTGCCTATTTCTGCCCTGATGAGCCTCTGCCAAGAACTATTTCTGATGTCTGTCAAACTGCCTCCCTTTTTGTGGGGCCCTCCAGTCACTCAGCTGGGATTATACCCCACACATGTCATCAGTGTCACTCTGTTTCTAGGGACATCCATTTGTTTCTTGTTTGTTTTGGAGAGTTTTCAATTGAATTGTAAAAGTATAAACGTATGTGTAGCAAATTTTATGAATGCCAATATCTAAATGAAAAAACAAAACAGCTTCAATCTTTGTCTATTCTCTTCTAACATAAACTTCCTACTCCACTTCAAAAAGACTCATTCTGTGCTCCCCTTCTAACCCCTTTTTTCGAGCTGGCGTACGTGTCTACAGTCACAATCCTCCATTTACATAAGCCTATGATTTCCAGTACTTAAAAAGGTTAGGGGACAGGAACCAATGCAAACATTGAGAAACCCTACTAGGATTGCGCCCAACCTTACTGAATTTCCTCACTCATTTGTGCTGATTTAAATCTGATAATTACACTTTAAGGAGAGGAGATTTTGACAAATACAGTCTCTTGTACTTGCAACATTACTATTCTAGTATGGAGCCAGGAACATCTTTCTGGAGACACTAAATCCCTGTTGCACTGGTGGAGGAAACACTGACGCACCAAGTGGTCATATTGAAAGAAAGGAAAGGGAAGACTACTTCCACTATGGTGACAGCAAGAACCATATTCTGTTATTAAAACACACACATTCTTGACCCTCCTCCTGACCCTCCTCCTGACCCCCAATGTAGAGGAAGTTCCATCGTATGAAGAAGAGTCTCATTTCCTGTCAGGAGACACTTTGTAATTTCCACAAAGCCTGATGACACTCCCAATTTGTTCGAGCTCTATTTGATCAGTAATCTTTCTTTCTCTTCCTTTAGCTCTTCAACTACCTTCAGAGGTTTTGCTGTGATGTGATGGGGAAAGAGCCAAATACTAAACCACCATAGATCCAATCTGCACTACTCATCAATTCCGGTGAGAGAATGAATCACAAGTAGGACAGTGTGCTGTTATTAACTCACCATGTATCTAAAAATGGCTGTGGTGGTTACCAGGCTGTGGAAGTACAGATAAAGTCTGAAGCCAATGCACACTAAACTAGCACGTATCACCCTGTATCTCACACTGAGCCACTGAATGCACAGAACATGGAGAGATGAATGGTTAACATAAGCCATTGCAAAAGCAGTATTTTAAGCTGAGCTGGTTTACATTAATCCAAGAATGTTAAAGTTGAATTGGTGGTCTTTTTAGATCTCAACCTCGGAATTATATCCAATTCAGTTAGTGACATCAAATTTAGTAATAAAGCTGGCTGTAAACATCTACCTATACTGGCGTAGAGACACAGACAGGTGGTGTGAACAGCAAATAACGTAAACTGTTTGGTTACTCCCTTTGCAAAAGCTACATGCTCCAGTTTTATTTGAGACTGAATCAAACAGAAGCTGTGGAAATTTCACTGCACCAGACAAGACGTAAGAAACATAGTTAATAGGAGAAGTGTGGACCACCCAGCAATGAGCTGCAGGTGCCGTGTTAGTCATATTATTATAAAGTGTCCGTTTTTGAAACATGAATCGAAAATGAAGAAATCAAATGTTTCTCAACTCTTGTGTTAAAATGAAAACTCTGAATGACTCATTGTGCAACTAAAGTGGATTACACCCTCTGAACTGAATAGATACTGTGTTTACACACGCGTCTGCACAAAGTGTGAAGAGGTTAGCCTGATTAGTCTTACTATAAAAAACATTTACATAGTTTTAGCAACATTGACCACAATGGGTGTGAAAGTAGCTACCCCCAGTTAATTTTCTGTATAACGTGGTGCAAGAACAGCATGTCTGATAGTTACTGTCAAAGCTATGAGGAGAAATGAGGAGACGCAGAAATCACATTTCTGTTCTAAAAAGGCAATAACTGTCTACTGATCAACATCACTCACTATAATCTTCATTATTCATGGGCCAAACGTCTGAGGCCAGGCCAATTTCCATTGGAATGAGGAATGAATATAGTAGAGCACCCCATGGAGGTAAATATTTACATATGCTGGGAATGGGTAAAGCTGAACAAATACATCTAATGGCAGCATGCATCACGCTGACTGGGAAAACAAACTAATACATTTCCCTAGTTACTGTTTGGAAAGATAGACTGAGCCTCAGTCAATGACTGACCTGGGTTCCCACTGAAACATGATTAAAGGTGAAATGGTGTGAACTTCCAGCATTAAATGCTGTCAAAACAATTTCATTATTATTTCATCTGTGCTTCGTTAAGTGGGGCAGCTCTGTCGAATCTTTGAGACAGGATATTATTGAACGCCAGATAAGCATGGGAGTGCTTGCTTGAAATGTATGCTATGACTACCAAAGGTCCCAATGGTCAGGTGCTGGACTGTCCTGTGTCCAATAATGTGTTAACACATAGCATACTGGAACTAGAGTCAGCTGACAGGCCAGTCACCCTCCAGAATAGCTTGTGACATAATAAGGAGTTTGAGTTAAGTTTCTCATTGGTTATCAGCTGAGAGTCAAGCCTAAGGCCTTCACATGGATCCAGGAAAAAGCCCAGTGTTTCCTTCATGAATTTAAGAGCAACACATGGTGGATGCTCAACATCTGAATCACATCTTATAGGTCACATGCCAATATTCTCAAAACTATGTGAGGGCCTAAGGGAGGAAGAGAGTGGGTGGATAAAATACTGGTGGAAGCAGAAACAGCTGATGTTGCTCTTTAAATTTCTTCTCATGTTCCTCAGGCAATAAACATGTTCCATTCACGCAGATTTTTTAAGACATGTTCTAGCATCACAGTATTAGAACAATAATGCTTTGTGTTGTACTAGTACTTAAGCACTGGAGAAACTGCAGAGAAAATGACAGTCATGTTATCTCTGTCCGTGGTTCCTCTAAATTTCTGTGCAATTTCACAGTTTCTAAAATATATTTTAGCATATTTCTTAGCACAGTGTGTCATTGCCATTGCAATTTGAACAAAGCATGAAATGTAGGAAACAAGTGTGGCCAAAGGGGACATTCAGGGGATCTTATACGGTAGCTGCCCAAGAATCAAATAGTGGCATAAAATTGTTAGTGGCTACACACTATCAAGACAAATGAGTTCAGCTGATGCCAACAATTATACTTTTACTGATAAGTAATAATTTAATATTGCTTTTGTAAATTATTAAAATGATTATCCAGACAACAGAGACACAGCTATGTCAACTTTGAATAGCAAAATAATTGGATCATAAAACACTAATAAGATTTTTTTTTAAACTACGTTAGTCCCACTACAGGGGAAACATTGGAGTAGAATAGATTTAGATCATTCAGATAAGCCTGTACTTATCACAGCAATTCAACCAATATAAAGAGGTCAATACTAAAAAAAACGTAGAGTGCTTTCTCTAGGATTTTATTTACATTGGGGGCTGCTATAATATATTAAATCAATAGTGATTGAGTTATTTTGATGTTCTACACATACTGTATATGCACTAAGGCTTGTGCAGCAACTAAGCCTTTATTTTATTATAAAGTTTATTACCTTTAATGTATTAAGGCGACCCGGCAGTGCAGGCCAACAAGTGATCCTGCTCCTCTGCTCTTTTCTCATCACTTACACATAGAGCTGGACTTTATAATAACCTGCTAAAATAATATTTATGTTCCTGGATAGACGGGGCGTCACTTTTTCTCCAACAATGGAGTTAAAACACAGCGTTGTTTGATAACCGGCGGAAATAACTTCTGTCGTGTCTCCAGCCTCTGTGTGCACTTGTGTGTGTGTGTCTGCTGTCGCTCTTTACACACAAATTGACATTCACATTTATTCAGTTATTAATCAATGGTGTCGGATAATGAATTTGGATCATTTAGGTCCCTTTAATCCTGATGTCCTGGCTGTGCATGTCTCGTGTTGTGCAAGGCAGGTAATCTGTGTGCACGCTGTTTAAATAGGTTCCCCTCAAAAATTCTAGAGCAAATCAAACAAACACAAAGTAAAGTTTAAGTACTGTATGTGTCCTAATAATTTCTGAATAGTGTTGGTGTTTATTGTTTAAGTGTGAAGTGAGCATAAGTTAGCGGGGGAGTGTGGAGGGCAGATACTCTGGATACTCTGACACGGTATAAGCACACCAGGCCCCAATCCATTCATAATCAATGCTGCACACTGTATGTTGCAATGTAAGGTTGTTCTCTTTTGGTGGCTTGAACAGAAAGTTTTGTAAATGTAGAACTCTTACACAAACATCAGTGTCCGTTCCTGGAAGATGTTTTGAAAAAGACAACGTTGCACAAATGTTAACAGAAAAAGGAGTGCTACCTTGCGAAAAGTCCTCGTGTTACTTACAGTAATAACAGCTTTACTAAGGCAGAGGGAACCTCGACAGCCATACTCGGTCTCATCCTGGGACTTGTAGTAGCTCAGTGTGTTGTTTTTCAGCACCACCCAACGGTCCTGCCAGCCATGGATGTAGTTTGTCCACTGGAAAAGCAAAGCATTTATATTAAAATCTTAGAATAGTGAGCGACAAGGAAAATCTCCCCTCAACTATGTAATGGAATGTGATATTTTTGCAATAAATACCACCTTGAGATGTAATCATAGGATACTACTTTAGTTATTGGTTTGTTCAAATTCTATGTTAAGTGGAGCACTTTGTGGTGTTGTCAAGGCATATGGCCCACTTTGTTTACACATAGTAAACATATTAAACACCTTATCTCATACATAACAGTCTCAGAGCTGAATCAATGTCTTTCTTAGTATTGAAGAACCGTTAAATTGGAGAGTGGTTTCCATTTTTTCCGATTAGCTCAGAGACAAATAGAAAGTGCATGTGCCTAACTTGAGATGCTTGAACGTCTGGGAAAACCTGAATTAGGACACATGTGGGATTATGTAAAGGGTTTAGCATGATCGAACAGGTGAGCCTTCCTGGATGCAGAGCTCCTTAATCTCACAATATGCTTGGTTAGCAGGTCAGCCTGCAATCTGTTTGGAAACACCGTGTACAGCGAGATTAATACCGTGGTAGCTTGCCAGCAGCTTAACTAATTTAAACTGTGGTTATTTTGACAAAAACAAAGCATTGCACAAGTGAGCAGAGGCATATGGCAAACTAGGTTACTAAGACTTTGTCTCGCAGGAGGCTTAACTGTCTGTTTACCAAAGAAAAACAGAAGAGATCACCATTATATTAGACAGTTGTTATTACATAGTGAGCTCGATCAACATATTTAAATCAAACCAGTTCCACCAACTGTCCAAATGTCTTTCGTAAGTATTCTTCACAGCATCCCTGTAGATGTGACACTAAGACAGTAGCATTTGAGATATCCACGTTGTTATTGTAGTAGACATGACACAGACACAGGGGTGTGCAGCAGTCCTGATTTAACCTTTGAAATGAGCTCATCACCCACAAGCTAAGCACAAACCTTTCTGAGAGGGAACACGCCAATATCTGCACAACGTACCCTTAGCATTACTAACACCTGCCCCACTTAGTATATTATTAACAGCATAGTGTAGCCGAATGTGATCACCAGATGCTCGCACTCACTGCACCAACATTCAATCAATGCAGCCCACAGCTAATTCGTGGATAACCTGGAATGAAATGTTAACTTCATCCAAGACCTCAGTAAATGAATCTTTATCTATTTTGATGGCTTTGTGGGCTAATGTGGCTAGCTGTACATTACACACCGCCATACAAATTTCACAACAGGGGCTTTCCTGTCGCTTCAGTGGGGATCTAATCCTACCGGGCAGGGATGTGCAAATGTTGATGGAGGGTAAGTGATCCTGGATCACCCTGCCCCCCAAACAAGACATGCCATGATTTGTCAGATCAGTCAGACTGCCTCATTTCCCCCTGGAATGAAGACAGGCTACAGTAATGCCCTTTAGCACCTGGCAGTGACATTGACCGAGCACGGTACACATTCAGGCTCTTACCTTGCTGAGGACTCCGCTGAACCGGCCATTCCCAACAGGATGTGCAGGCTCCTCTCTGGGCTCTAAATCCTCCTCGGAGCCGTAGGAGTTCCAGCTCTGGTTATCGGACATTATGCTATGTGGCTAACGCTACTGTCAACACAAACCAGGCATATGACGCAGAGACGGCAGTACACGGACACTGATCGCTAAGCTGGTGTTACAGGAGCAACAGTTCACGGAACCATGTTGTGTTGCTATCGACTGGCTAACAGCTCTGAGTGCAGGAGGAAATCGCCGCGGCTCGGTGGGGGTCGATAAGAAGCTCCCACCGCGCAACTTAACGTCAGTTAGCTAAAATGGTCGGCACACATTCTGTGGTCGCACAATTCAGGTGAACGTCGGCTGTCAACTCTTCTTCTTCTCCGCCGCGTCCGCCCGGTCCCAGAAGTGGCAGGGGGAGGAGAAATGTTGATAGGTGTTGTCGGGCAGGCGGTCAGCGGTCACAGGGTAATCCGTCGCTGACTTCCAGAGAAACGCAGGGTCCGTGTCGGTGGTTGTTTACCTGTGCAGCCCGGAGACAGTTCTCCAACTCTGCGCCATGTTCCTCCGTCTGAGTTCCTCTGACGTCTGCGGCTTCTCTCTGGATCAGCGCGTGCTCTAACTTGTGTGGCGGGCAGGGGCGCTGGCCCGCGTGACGTCACCAAATCCTCTCCTAATTCGGAGCAAAGCCCCGCCCCATCTTTATAATACTCAAAATAGAGCGAGCAGTACAACAATGTTGTACTAGTACACACTGTGGAATACTGCTACACACTGAGTACTACTACACACTGTTGAAATCTAAAACACACTGAGTACTATTATACACTCTTGATAACTAAAACACACTGAGTACTGCTAAACGCACTGTGGATAATTAAAACACACAGAGTACTTCTAAACATACTGAGGATAACTAGAACACACTGAGTACTACTACACACTGTTGAAATCTAAACCACACTGAGTACTACTAAACATACTGAGGATAACTAGAACACACAGAGTATTACTAAACATACTGAATATAACCAGAACACACTGAGTACACATGCACTGTGGACAACTAAAACACACTGAATACTACTAACCACAATGTGGAGAACTAAAACATAATGAGGGGCACTAAACACACAGAGGAGTACTAAACATACTTAGGAGTACTAAAGCATAGCTACTAAACAAACTGTGGAGAACTAAAACACACTGAGGAGTACTGAACATACTGAGGAGTACTAAAACAGTAGTACTAGACTCATTGTGGAGAACTAAAACAGACTGAGTACTACTAAACATGTGGCAGACTAAAACACACAGAGGAGTACTAAAACAAACCAGCTGACTACTACTAAACACACTGATGATACCTAAAGCACACTGAGTACAACAAAACACACTGATGAGTACTACAAATACCCAGAGAACAGAAAAAGACTGAGAACGACAAAACACACGCACACACAAGATTATTCTAAATACACAGAGGAGAACTACAGTAGAACAAATTGAAGAGCACTAAACAGAGGATCAACAGCAGAAGTCCTGCTAAACAGACTGAGGAGTACTACAAAATAATCTGAGATATACTAAAACAGATTAAAGACTACTGCAAAATACATTGAGATGCACTACAACAGAGGGAGGAATACTACAAAAAAACACTGAGACATACTAAAACAGATTTAGGAGTACAACAAAATGCACTGAGGTGTACTAAAACTGAGTGAGGAATACTACAAAATACACCTAGGTGTACTGAAACAGACTGGGACTGTTAAAACAGTAGAGAACAAAAACAGGCTGAGGAGTACTACAAAATACATTGAGTATTTGTTTGTAATAAAGACTTAGGGAGCCACACCAGCACCCAATATAATAAATACTTCATGAGGTCACACATTCATTCATAAAGAATGTTCCCACCCCTTTTCCTTCCTTTACAGTAGCCCATACCGGGCATTTACTCGCATCAACCAACAGTCATGTGATAATCCTTATGAGATTTAGCATATACACACACACCTACACACACACACACTCACACACACACACACTCAGGAGAGGAGAGGAAGGAAAGCTTTTGGCCATGTCATGGGGTTTTGTGAGTGTGATACAGGTCCATGAAATCATGAGACTGGGAAATGAGGAAAGCACAAGACTTCTATTAGCTCCACAATCCAGTTCCTCTCAAAAGGAAAAGCTTGAGCAAAAGGTAGTTGAGAATTCAGGCGTAAGTCACTGAACAGGTTTTTGTTTATCTGTGGTTTCTAGAAAGTCTGTTTAACTGATTCAAGACTTCAAGGTGTAACAGTTAACAGTGGGTGAGAGAACAAGGCAAAGCTCATCTCAGAGTGAGATTGGCTCTGATTTATTCTCCCTCCATTACGTATTCATTTTCCCAAAACTCAGAACGTCTCTCTGCAACGTGGTGGTGAAGCCGGGAAGGATCTCTGTTGTTTGACTGGATAGGATTTCAGTACTTAATTTAATCACGGTGACACACAAACTTCCCCTGAATTAGTGGCTCTGTGAATTATTAAGAGGCCAGGAGTCAAGGACTATGACTCAGTCAGGGCTGATCTAGCAGTAATGTGATTAAATCACATCGTCCTTTGAGCTGCAGGTTCCTCAAAGGTCAGCAGATCAGAGTGGGCAAAAGTGAAGGAAGCAGCTGCTCCACCAGGATGGATTATTATGCTTTATTTTGTCATCCACTTCCTTATGGACAGGAATACAACTGCTCAATCAAATGAGTTTAGAGAAAGAAAACAACCCTGGAGTCTCAGGAGATTTTTATTAGCAACCACCAATTTTCCAGCAGCTGCATGTGGACGTGACTTCCCAGCACCAGCTTCAGGCAGGACAGCCTCATGAGAAGTCTTGCGTAAGAAACCTGAGAAAAGGTTGGAGCAGAGGGAGACCTGCTGTGCCCTCTGCTGGTGACCAGTCAGACCCAGCAGTAACATGCTTGTGTGACATCATGGCAGGAAATGTTTACATGTCAGTAAACATATGAAGCTTGATAAATGATTTGTAGATATAAGGCGTTTCATACCTCCTGCATTTCTACACGTACACTGTTATTGCAATGTATATGTCTTTACTTAAAAACTGAGATAAGGTACAAAAAAAAAGAAAGAAAGTTTCCCTTTTATATATTTTGTGACATATTATGAATCAAGTTTTGAATTTCACTTCAATAAACAAAACAAAACATGAAAATAAAATGTTTAAAAATAGTTCTGCACTTTTCGCTATGTTCTCAGTAGTGGAAGGTCTGTGTAGTCACAGTCTCATTTATCTAATATGGTTTGACATTAAGTTAGAGTATTTTGTCTGCATTGTGTTTTCTTAAAAAAAATTATGGCAAAATGCATTAGGTTAAAAAAAGAAAGTTGTGTAAAACAGCTCTCTCGGTTGGACAATACAGTCTAAATGTTTGTCCCGCAACAACAAAAATACAGTATCTCAAGTGTCCCATATTCATTAAACTACTTTATACAAGATATGTCTTACACCTCTTGTATAAGCTTGAGGTAAGGTTTATTTATAGATCTATCTTTTATGTCTGTGGATCACAAGTAGATGAGGAAACGATAATGAATCTGTTCAATTAACTGGGGCGTTTCATTGCTTTGACAACAGTAAATACTAGAAACAAATTTTCCATTCACATCAATCAGCGTGGACTCATCATCCTTTCTGCTCTCTTGTCTGGACAGATGAGAAATGTTTATCCAGCATGAATCCAATTTCCTCTTCAGTAATGACTGCAACAGGAGCACGATTGAATATGATTTCAGTAGTTACACTAGATTGGCCAGCTCAGGCTAGGTTAATGCAGACCATAATAGTCTTTTTTTGAGAAAACATATATTCATTGTATAACGTTGCGTCATACGTCATGCTACAAATGATTCACAGGACATTTGATTATTGGTCTGCTGCTCACATGATCTGTGAAAAGAATACTGCAGTTTTCTTTTTCAACTTTTAAAAATACACCGTTCCACCTGAAGGAAGCTTTTTTGTCTTGGTAGCGTTACAGTGAGTTTTCGTCTGTACTGGATATTTTCATACAAGATTGATGAATTAGAAACTATAGTTTTACTCGTCATGATGAACTGACAGCTGAATGATAGCAGAGAGAGAGGACATTTTAACCTCTGGCAGCTTAAGGGTGATTGGCTCAAGGCGAGCGTGTCAGGCGGTGATTGGATAAAAAGAGGACGAGCTTGTGGAGCCTAGGTAGAGCGGGAACTGTGCACATGCACTCTGCAAGTGAATTAAAGGCATGTACAACAAAACAGTCTTCCTGAACGCTCACTTAGTTTTCTTTCTGTGAAGCATTTAAGGATTCACATTTCATAGCAATAGCTGTCGACACAGACTTGGTTCAGACTCACGGCTCTGGTTCCATAGTGTCCAACAACAGGCCTTACGCTGCCTTATTTAAGGCAGATTATATTTTATATTAGCATAAGTATTAAATATGGAATATATATCACCATGTGTGTGACAAATGTTATCATTGCTACTGAAGGCATTGCTACTGAAGGCATGCGTCCAAAACATAGATGTGTAACTCAAAGGTTGAACAACAGTACGTCAGAGTTATTCTATTACACTTATCCAGTCTGTATATATGTTCAACACTGACCAGGACACCTCTGCTTATGATGTAGGTTCAGGCCTGTGTATAAATAATACTGTGAAATGTCATAGATGGCTGTAAATGGAAGCAATAAAACGAATGTATTGTGTTCGACTCGAATCATGGACTCAGTAGAAATATTGTTATTGGTAGGTTAGGTTATTAGCATGCTATTGATAAATATCAAGCAGGCCTCCTTGAGTCAGTTTATACCTTATATACAGTCTATGGTTTATACCCCATTAGAATAAACCAGTAAGAGCCCTCTGTGTCCAGAATGACCAGTAGGAGGCAGTGTTGTATTTTGGTTGCATTGATTAACAAGTCAGTTAAGTTCAACAGCACAAAGAAAAATTACACCATTAAGTAAAACTTCAGACAATTCTCAAATGTATATCACAACTTCTGAAGAAGAATTAGTTTGTCTCGTGAATCGGATTTCAGCCAGATTTCATTTTATCAATATTTAGTAATTTATAATTTTGCCAAATATAAAGCACATTGTTTTAGCACAATTTACTCAACATAAAATACAGTTTGCAAACTTAAAACATGTACAATGTAATATTAACTATGTGCTATGTCAGACACAATACAATGATATATTAACAAAAAAGCCAATAACTATAGAAAATGTCATTTGTATTTGTTGTCAACTGCAGCCATCCGCTTGATCCTGATGCTGTGCTGTAAGAATAAATATGCAATGAGATAGACTGTATCTGCTTGTGTGGTCAACAGAACCTGACAATAAAAGTCAAAGCTTGGAAAAGGACACCCCTTTACTCCCTCTTAGTTTACTTGTCTGAGTGTAATTTGATTCCATATAACAATTGAACAAACATTATAATACTTTGTCGCAAGGTATTTATTAGTTTCTGACTCTGGATGATGATCTGATGATCTCTCAAGATGACTAATTTAATATTACTTTTTTACTTCCATTCACTGAGCCTCCCCTGAAACTGGCCCATCTCCCAGGTTGAAAACATCCGA